TGAAAATGTACTTTTTTCAGTTTCTATTTTTTTTATTTATTTTCAGTGGGAAAAACAGAAAATTAAACCACGAATTAATGGTTAAAGTTTTATTTTGAAAGTAGATTCTTTTAATTAAACTATAATTAAAAATTAATAATTAGCGTTGTCGAGAATTCAATGTGAATAAATATAAAATATAGTCATATGAGGCCACGAGAACAGAAGTGGCCCAACCCAATTTTTTTTTTTTGTACTTAACTTCTTAAAATTGTTTAAAATTTTAAAATAAAGGTCGCTTATTACTTAAATTTATGGTGCGTTATGTAGCCCTGTACATTAAAATTAAGAAATAAGCGACTTTCATTTTAAAGAAACGATTTTAACTACATAGCTAAGTAAAAAAAAAAAAAAAAATGGGGTTGGGCCAAAACTAAAACGAGAAGATAACTCGGGGTTCGGGCCAAACCGAGCTTTATATACCTGTCGCACGAGTGTTTTTTTTTTTCGATTTCAAAAATTTCCGATGCATGGTTATAGTTCGATTTTCAATACCAATGTCCTTACCCCGATAAAAGTGGGCGTTTAAATATCCCAATTTTGACTCGAGTTGCCATGTGCCGAGGCGGCCGGACAGACAGACATTGATTCTTTGTTTCATTCTGAGTAGTTTGCTATACATGTATATGTATGTACATTGGCATGGCCCTTACGTTATATGGAGAAAAATAAAAGTGTTTGGATTCTCGGTCTCACCCTCTAGAAATGTGTGAATAACCTAAAGACTAAACTATACAAAGTTTTAGCTCAATCAAAAACGATTTAGAGGTGGCTCAAAGCGCTCAAAGTTTTCCATGTATTTTATATGGCGACAAAAAAAAATTCGTAGAAATTTTGAAAATCAATATTTTTCAATCGCCAAACTCTTTTTCTCTTGCAGAAAAAATAACCTATGGTTTATTTATAGGTTTATTAATACTAACACATTTTTATGGCTCCCCAAAAACCCCTAAAAAATGCAATGGCGGACCCATAAAAAATTCTTAAAATTAAACAAATTTTAAATAACCAATTGGGTAGTTTTTTTTTTTTAAATCTACTGAAGAGAAACAGAAATTGTGGACTGTACCATTTCTACGAAAGGTGTTTTTTCGGCATATAAAATACATAGGAAATATTTTTAGATTGACCTAAAACTTTGTATAGTTTAGTCTTTAGGCTATTAACACATTTCTATGGGGTGAGACCGTGAATCCGAGCTCTTTTCGAAATAAGGGCCAACCGAATGTACATATGTCTACATAGATGTCTATACCACATTCAAAATAAACGGAACATATATCGATTCCTTTAGGTTGTTTTAAGCAACCATTACACAAGTTAAACTGACCTTGTGGAGACGAGTGGGCTCTGGTATTGTATGTAAACTTTGGGAGCGATTTATTCACATGGAATAGGTAACGGGGCTCAATTAATCGCAGCTGCAACGTGAAAATAACAGTTTTTATAATGACCAATCCATGAACGGGAATGATTATACGTTTTTATTCACATTTTACCAGCCAAGGATACTAGCAAATGTTTATGGCTGCATGCAATCATGAAAAAGAAACTCGTATTAATAGAAAATATTTTCCTACTAGTTGAATAATGAGCCTTAATAATAAAATTGGAAACACTTCCAATAATCACACACAGATACGAATATCTGAACATTTTAGCTAAGTTACAGCTATCTATTATGTAGTTATTATTGCTTCAGTGCTTTACTGCCAAACGCCTGCATAATTGCCGACAAGTGTAGCTGGAAGTGGACCACCAGCTGCAAATAGACGCATACCAGTGCTATCGTAACAGTGAGTGTAAATGGCTGGTACATATTTCACTTGTTGGAAGCCATCCATTTCATCTTCAGGATACTAAAAACATAAATTTTATAGAAAGACATATTTATAATAACATTATTGCTCTGCAATGTCATCTCGCGAATTTCTACTCACCACAATACCTTTGCTACACTTTAGCGCCACAGTACGTGATGCATTTACGCTGCTCTCTAAATATTTACCTGCTCGTATATCGTAAAAGAGCAACATACCCAGACCGGTACCGACAGTGAGCAGATTACCTTCGAATGTTGTGGCACGTATGCCGCAGCCATTGTAACGCGAAGTGATCTTTTTGATTGTCTGTCAAAAAAAAATAAAAATAAAAAATTTACGTTACACGTAAGTGAAAAATTCGTAAATATAAATAATTATGCGTTAGCAAACACCTGTAGTGTTCGAGCGTCCAAAAGTATGGTATAAGAGCGACAACCGACAGCATAAAGTCCGTCGCTGTGGTATGCTATGCTCACATTATCTTGACAATTTGGCAGTTTGCGAGATAACTTTTGTTTGAACGTTTCCGCATTGAATATATGTATATAACCATTTAGTGAAAGTGCTGCAATTTCTTTAAATTCTTTGTTGAAACAAAGTGAACGAATCTAGGAGCGATACAAAGTTATATTTATCTATATGCTCATATCATTTGAATTTACCCGCTGGGCTGTGCGCACATCTTTCACACAAAGTGGATTAATAGTGGCGAAGGTAGGACATGCTTCCTTGCCGCCATCTGGGAAATCCATGAGATCTTCATTGATGCGCCAAAGCGATAGGCGCGAATCTTTTGAGCCCGATACCAAGAATTGATCATCCAACCAACACATGCCCATAATTAGATCACGATGCCCGTTCTCGCCGACACAAACCGGATCAAGAGTAGGAAGTCGGTAAACAGCCACATCGGCTGAGTTACGTGCGCCAGTGGCTAGGAATGAACGACTTGGATTAATTTCAATTGCATGTAAACCACCCTGCACCTCTGGGTGGTTGGCTCGGTTGTTCGAAAGCGTTGGAATGGCATCCACGCGGCGCATATTCACATCATAAACAAGTAACTATGAGTAAAAACGCAATATGTAACAAAATACAGTAACTGGATTGTTAAATTTGTCACCTTATTGCATTTTGTGCCGAAGACAACTTGACGATTGCTCAGCCATTTGGAACAGAAAACCTTATTGATATAACCCAGATGAATTTGAGTTTCTCGTAGCATATCATGCGTAAGGACATAGCGGCTAGTGTTCTCGAAATTGAAGCTTCGTTGCTGTAGGATTGAGAGCAAAATTTATCCCTGTGTATTTTCAACAAAAACCAACGAATCAATGTTACCTCTTTCAAACCAGTCTCACGACTACGTAAGTAATCGCATAAATTAAATGAAGTATTCAGCACTTCTTCTTGTTGTTGTGGAGTCTCTTCATCACTGCCGGAATCGTCGTAAGTAACGAAATCGTCCGGCTTGTCTGGTTTGCGTCGTCGCTCTTGGCGTAGTGCTCGCGCCTTGGCACGCCGTTCATCCAGACGCGTTGGCACATGACAAGAGGGATAGGTGCCTACCACACTATGCCTTATGGTCTTAACCATGGAGCTGAACACCATAGTGTTTTTGTTACGTATCTCGAACATTTTTCGTCACCGTTACTATAGCAGAATGAGATTTTTAGTCAATGCTGCTGGTGCTACCAAACAGGGATAGTGCTCGAGTGCTACCTTCCTATGACTTTTTTAACACTTGCACAATTAAAATGCATTAAATTTTAGGGTGATACCGAAAATTTTCATTGTTTACCACGGTCAGTGTAAAAATCACTTCTAGCTGACAGTGGAGAAATACAGAAAAAGGAAAGTAGAAATAACGAAAATCATTCGTTCGGTCATAATATCGTGTTTACAATGGAACGTAAAATATGTATCTTTCCGTTTACAGCGGAAGATAATGTTAACTTTAAATTTCGCTATAATTTAGTTTTCAACGAGTGTATAGGAGGGCGGATAAAAATTGAGGAAGATAAACAATTTTTGTTAAAATTCTATAAAATTTAGAATTTCTTTTAAATGTCGTAGACAAATTTTGTTCTGCTACTGTTCTGCTAGTTTTCATCCAGTGTGAAACCTTGAGAATAATTGCTCTGTCATTCTAATGTGAAACAGCCTGATTACATGTGCTTTAAGTCTGTCGCCCTCTATCTTAACTTTGTAGGTTTATATTTAAATTTTATGAAAAGTTTTTCAAGTGGAAATACGTCCAATTCTTGTTATTTAATAAGGATAAAATGCAACCCTGCATTTAAGTACTTCATGTGTTTTGATAAAATCCGTAGCTAGGAATCAAGAATTAAACGTTCAAAAAATTCCCTTTTAATTTATCAGCCTTATCGTGAGTTTCATTTTCTCCGAACAGGTTCACTTTTCGTAACCAAGTCCATATTTAAAATTTATTTAGATTTGTTTTCCAATCCAATTCCAAATCCAATTCTAATTTTTGTTGATTATATTCCTTAACAAGAAACCTACAGATATATCAGTTTTTATATTAATTGCGCTGAATATGTACGATCCACAAGCAGGATTTATTTCCGGATCTGATATTTGAATTGTGCCTCTTTTGAAGAAGGTGTGCTGATATGTATTCACAAAGCCTCAACACTGTTCAGTGGAGACCTTTGCCTTAAAAAAAATCGATAACGCTGTATCAATGGTATCGAGCGAATTTATAATTTGAAATTAGGGAAAGTATTTTTTTTTCTTCCAATAAAAAGTTGGTTTCGGCCAACATAATTTTTTACTCTCTTGTTCCTGCGTGATCTTGTGTCGCTTTCATGGGGTATGGGCAAATTGAAGTTAGTTTGACAAGCCGTTGGGGAGGTTTCTTTCGCTCTTCAGTACGTTAATCTTGAATAACTTCTCTGTTTTTCAGTAAATATTTACGGTCAATGTGGTGCTAAGCTATGGATTTCTTTGAAACAAAAGAAATTACTTCCACATATGACAAAATATCGAAATTTCTATATACGAGAAAACAAAATTTATCGTCACATCGATAGTATCACCGATATCTTTCCACCTGTTCTGTTCAGAAATTTTTAAGTTTTGTTGTTGATAGTAGTTTTTCTGCAATTTTCTGTCCGTATGCTGAAATTTATTTTTATTTAACAGTTGAAGGGGAAACAAACATAAATAAAACTTGTGCTGCATTTGGGCAATGAACGCATACGGTTTGTAGAATGAAAATTCAAAGTGTAACTTTGTGGATACTTTACGAAATCTGTAGTTGTCTCATATCAAAACGCGAGTGCTCCCTTGCACCGCGCCATCCCAACTAGCGCGCTATTCCTTTACGTTACCTACATATGTATATTTTCCCTTTTTCTATAACAAAAACGTTAAAAATTAATTTTATCGATGTTTCGACAGCTCCTTTCTCCTTGGGGTTAAATGTAAATACATAGAATATTATTTCATTGGCTTCCGCGATTTAAATATATATTCACCCAACAAAGCGTTTGGGTACGGCTGAGCTATTGCATCGTGCGCCTAAAGCATCTTTGCTGCAAGTTAAATTTATTATTGTATATATGTATGTATGTATGTTTAATTTGTGTTCCACGTAATACACTTGCATATGCGTTAATTGTACGTGCAGTTAATCATATCGACGAAAAACACGTTCAAACACAAGGACAGGCTAAACCAACTCTCTAATTCATATAAGTATTGTAGTTTACGAAAACATCACACCCAACCAACAAACATAACCATCACTACCACCATCTTCCACCACCACACCACCAAAACCAAACCAACCAAAAAACTACTGCTACTACAACCACCACCGTCTCAACCGATTACAACTTTCCGGTCCAAGGTTATTGTGCGTCTGCGTCTTAGCGGAGGCGCTTGTTCGGTTGACAATTAGAAACAACACCATTAAGAAACAGAACCGAGCCCTTCCATGCACGATGGCCAAGATGTATGGAAAGGGTAAGAGTAAGTAAATTGCTAATTTTTATTTACATATTTAAATCAATAACGAAACTCGCCATTGACAGCACTAACATCTATCGTAATCCGTTGTATAGTAAAATTTCATAATTAGAAATGCTAACACAATAACTTCTGGATTAATTTCTAAGCTTAGTTTTGCTAATTTCTTGAAATAGAAAAAAATGTATATAATAGTTATTGCAATATAAATAAACAAATATATTTTTGTACATAAGTACTATGTAGTAAATAAACAGCGAAAAAATTCATTTAAAAATATATATTTCTCTTATTCCCCTCATTTGTATAGCGACTATCGAGTCCGAGGATCAACAAAAATTGCGATGGCAAGTTGAACTTGAATTCGTACAGTGTCTGGCCAATCCCAACTATTTGAACTGTGAGTAAATTTATTCATTCCATAACAACAGTCATTATAATACACAACATTTTTCTCTCAGTTTTAGCTCAGCGCGGTTATTTTAAGGATCAAGCTTTTATTAACTATCTCAAATATCTACAGTATTGGAAAGAGCCCGAATATGCGAAATACTTAATGTATCCGATGTGTTTGTACTTTTTGGATCTCTTACAATACGAACATTTTCGCCGTGAAATTGTCAATTCGCAATGTTGCAAGTTTATCGATGATCAAGCCATTTTGCAGTGGCAACATTATACACGAAAACGCATAAAGATGTTTAACAGCGTGAATGGTATGGGCCAAATGAATGCTGCTGATCCAGCTGCAATGGATCCACAACAGCAACTTCAACAGCAACAACAAAATGCACAGCAGAATCAACAGCAGCAACAAGGACAACAGCAACCGGGTGGTGTTAATGCACCTATGGGCTTGCAAAATGGAATGGTTAATAATGCACAGTTGCAGATGCAGCAACAGCAGCAGCAACAACAACAGCAGCAACCACCACCGCAAGCACAACAACAACAACAGCAGCAAAGTGTTGGCAATGCAGCGATGGGTATGCCAAATGGAAATAATGCCTCAACCAATAGTAATAATTGAACAGAGTGATGGTGTTGAAGAATTTAACCTGCTTTCCTCCAATTAGTTAGTAATTCATTTAATTATATTGTAAACACTATTTGAATAGTGATATTAAAAGCATTCGACACTTTTCTTCATTTGAAATGAATTAATGTGTTTTAATTTTTAGTTAGTCTTAAACGTAGAAAACGTTTGCGTCCATTCTGAACATCTGTTATGCGCACAGAGTTATAATACCCTTGTGCACAAGCACCTTCGGGTATAAAAAGGAAAAAACCAAATCGGAAAATATCTTTTTCTTTTTAGTTCAACAGCATGTCTACCTCGTTTTTCTATGGAGTTTATTTATTATGCAGCAAAAGTCCTGAGAAACGCTATGCAGGCCGTTGCTATATTGGTTTCACGGTGAACCCTGATCGGCGTATAAGCCAACACAATCGGGGTAAAGAATTTGGTGGAGCCAAACGCACAAATAACAAAGGTCCTTGGCAAATGGTTATGATAGTACATGGATTTCCAAATAATATTGCAGCGCTCCAGGTAATTACATTTTTTTTTTCTTTTGAGCTGCATTTATTGTTCGACATTTTCAATTTTAGTTTGAGTGGGCATGGCAACAACCGGCACTTTCCACTCGCCTCACACCATATCCTGAATTACGTCGTAAAAACCGGAAGGAAAGTCATTTTCAATATAACTTTCGTGTCTTGAGCCGAATGTTGAATGTAGGACCGTGGAACCGTTTGCCGCTAACTGTACGCTGGCTAGAAAGCGAATACGAATGTGATTTTACGGTACTTTTGAAAAAAAAAACATACTTACAATCATACACACGTATGCACATATCGTTACCTAAATATGTAAGGCGACATCTCACATCTTTTCGATTGATTATGATACATTTCATTGAATTATAAGTCCCCAAATTGTTTTATGCAATAACAAATTTTAGTTGGTTACAACTTTTATTGCATTGCACGGGCGTTCCTATATTAGGGTCACGATATGTATGTACACATGTATGTATGTACATATAAATAAAATTATGAAAACTTACTTTAAATAGCTGAAACCGCCAGCGCACATGGAAATAGTAAGCGGCAAAGTTGTCATAGAAAAATCGCAAGCATCACGAAAAAAACGTGCCGAGGATTCCTCACCACCACGCGCAATTTGGGCACCTGAATGCCACTTGTGTATGCAGCGCATTAATAATCCTGAAGATTCTCGCATCGGATGTATTAATTCGTTATGTAAACTCACTTGTCATATTATATGTCTTGCGAATTATATACTATCTTCTGATGAAAGCAATCGTGGACACTACATACCCATTGCTGGCGAATGTCCTCTGTGCGAAGAGAAATTTACTTGGGTAGCGCTTTTGCAGCGAAAACGTAAATTACAAGCAAATGGCGTGGAACAGATAGAAGAAGAAGATGATGACGATGAATACGATATGGATAATGATGCGTCCAATGAGAGCGAAAGTGATTTTGGTGATGAGGCAGCCAAATCGGAAAGTGAAAGTGAAAGCGCTCTTGGCATTAATTCTCAAAAAGGCAACGAGTTTGATAATGGTCGTGCGCTTGTAGTGGGTAGTCCACAACCGCAACTGGAATATATGCTCGATTTATGCAAAGATGATGATATAATTTATGAGTTGAGCGACTAAATACTACATATTTTTTAAAATGATGTAATTTATAATTTTGAAATTGATTTATTTTATACATTTGTATGCGTACATCAATAAAATTAAGTCCAGCACGAAAACGTGGTTGAAACGAGTATTATGCTTTTTAGTTACTTCGTACAGGTTCTTCTAATGTGAAGACAAAACCCAAAGAAGTTACTACTGTGATAACTAATGTGACCAATCGCATTTCTTCCGGAAGTACAGTACTTCTTTTTTAGCTCTTGTACTTCGTACTTCGCAGTACAGTCAAATGCACTTCTTTGCAATATTTTGTACTTCAGGTCCTGTACTTCTCCGATCTTGTGGACGATCGTCACTTGGCATGGGTGATAGAATGGCATCATACCTGCGCAGCTGCAAAGGGCTCTGGAGGTGTCGTGCACATGGTTGGCTCCTATTTATGCAAACTGCGTGAGGACTGGGTACATCCCTAAGGCTTTGAGGTTAGTCAGTGTTGCGCTCATCCCGAAGGCCGGAAAAGGCCCTCATGATTCCCCTTTCATGTTTTTTACTGTCTGATAGACCTGTACATAAGAAACGCGGTTCCTTGTGACTGCCTTTAAGAGCTCATAATGCTTATTTCAAGGAAACGTCGGTGGATACTGCCCTGCAAACATTGATTAAGTGGTTATAGGACGCCTTAACGCATAAAGATTACGCAGTGGGGCTTTCCTCGATATCGCGGGGTCCTCCAACCATGCCACTCTAGAGGCAATAGTCAAGTAACAGTATCCAAACATTGTATTGATACGTTTTGGAAGTCAGCCTTACAATATATGTACATAAATGAAAATACTGGAATCATTATTATGGAACCATGTATGCACTCTAAAAGAACAAACTGGCCGTATGATGTACGGTTTAAATATTTTAATTGTTTTGTATAGAAGGACGTAGACAGCCATTCACCTAGGGGGCAGGGGACATGTTTTTAATAAATTTATTTTTTTTGTGTATATAAATAGACATTTTTGGGTTTAAGAAAGTATACGTTTTCTGGTATCCTTTACAACGATACCAATTTTTTAAAAATCGGTTTTAATTTTTTTGTTTGAAATATTTTTTTTTAAGGTATTTTTTGCTTCTTTTTGGTTGTTTGTGTTTCCGGCAGGGTAGGAGTATGATGTATTGTGGAACGATTTTCCGTCATCCCTCGTCAAATTTGGTATTTTTTGCTGTTTGCGAAGTATACAAATATGCATGCCTTTACAACGATACAGAATTTTTAAAAATTGGTTAGTAATTTTTTTGTATTTTTTTTTTTTATAAAAAACCGTATGATGTACGGTTTAAATATTTTAACTGTTTTGTAATGTTTTTAATAAATTTATTTTTTTTTGTGTATATAAATAGAAATTTTTGGGTTTAAGAAAGTATACAAGTATACAAATATGCATACCTTTACAACGATACCGAATTTTTAAAAATTGGTTAGTATTTTTTTTTGTAATTTTTTTTTTTATGAAAAAGGGATTTTTCCTTTTAAGTGTTTTTCTCAAATTTTTATATACGAAGTATACAAATACGCATATCAGAAGAAAGAAGGTTTAATTGCGTTTAAAACGATATCAATTTTTTAAAAATCGGTTAGTAATTTTTTTTTATAAAAAAAGGTATTTTTCCCCTTTAAATGTTTTTTCTCAAATGTTTACATACGAAGTATACAAATATGCATATCAGAAGAAAATACCCCCTTTCTTCAAGTTTACAACGATACCAATTTTTTAAAAATCAGTTCAAAACTGTTTGAAATAAAAGGTGAAGATGGCACAACTCCGAAGGCTGTTTGTCGTCAAACCAAACTTGACAAGGGATGACGGCAATTTGTTCCAAAATAAATGATCTTACCAACCAGTTGGAAAAATCAACCAACACCAACATATTATGCAGATATCATCACACTCGGTAAGAATATGTAGTGGTATCTTGCTGGTCTTGTCGCAGAACCAACATAGATCATTTGACCCAGCTTATACAGATGCCCTGTAAAGATAACTGTTAGTATTCTAAATTTCTCCTTTAGGAGGTTAATTATGTTTTGGAATCACTTACTGAATTACCCTCCCAGCATACTCTATTATAGTACCTAGCGCAGTCCTACTAAGCCACGCCATTTTAGATCACATAGTGCGTCGCTCTCCTTCCTTAGCTCTTCTTTAAGAGTATTTGGGCAATTGGGGTGATGGCTGCCGCCTCTCTCGCGAGAGTTTGCCGTCTTATTATCCTCAATGCCCCTTTGAACGGGTACCCATGCTAATTGGATGTTTTTTTTTGCCTATCAAGTGAGTTAAGTTTCTCAATGAACTCAGTGATGGTCTAATTTCATATGAAAAGAGAGCTTTGAGCGTTGCCTTATGTCGTTGCACAACACTAGTACATCAGTGCAACCGTGTAATGTTTAATTGCTTTAACGAAGAATGGGAAAAGGCGGAATATGCAAAAGGACTTCGGATAAATACCCGCCTTTGCATGAGCAAAGAAACACTTTTCATTTTGTCAGCAAGCAGCGAGTGCATAAGCGAACTAATTGGAAACAACACCAACAACAATCGCCGTCAGCAGCACCATCACCAATAACTTTGTCAAATTCGTTTTAATAATTATATTATTCCGTGTTCGTCGTAAAACTCGTCCTCAAATAATCCAATAAAGTTTTAAATCTTATTTTATATTTAACATAAATTGGTGCCGTCCTTTATTTTGCTGACACCTTACTATCGCTTAAAATTATAATCGTCTAGTTTCGGCGCCTTCTATGTATATTTAGCTCCGCACACAGAAAGATGGCGTAAACCTCCGCTTATAAACTGCTCGGGTATTTCCCCATAGGAACAGAGATTCCTACCCCTATTCCCTCTGAAGCTTTCGAGCCGTCTACATATCAGCGCAGGAAGCTAGCTTTCGAAGGCAGAGATACTCCAGGTTGCTTTGCTGCATAACTATATTGTACATCTTCTCTCAAAGAATATGATTCTGTATATACATAGCTCTATAGGAAGCTTCTCCATGTGTCTGACCTTTTCCTTTTCCAAATACCTCTCTACTAAAGCTTAGTAGAGTTCTTTTGGTAACCTGTTCTAATGGATATACATACATATATGAAGAGACTCAAGTTCGAAAATTACTTCCAGCGCTGCCGTCGGACACGTGCGCATTGCTCCTAGGTTGACTCTGGAGCCACACGATACCGCTCGATAGGTTATCGTTGCTTTGACAATTGTGGTATACATTTATCTGAGGACCCAAGAACTGCAGCCCCAAGATTTTCCTGCGAAAAATTTGCACACCATAAGTGCTCTTGTGGCTTTGGATGTCGTCATGTCGACGTGTTTTTTCCATTAGTTTTGTGTCGAGCTTGATGCCTAAATATCTTAACTTCCGAAATGGTGCTGACCTCTATGTCATCGATAGTTATAGTTCTCATTCCCGGTAGGGTTATTCTTGTGAATGGGAGGATGGCTGTTTTCGTTGGGTTTATGTTGAGAATCACCACTCCTTTGTTATCTTTAATGTCCTTTCTATTATGTTACATAGGGCGTTCTCGAATCTCCCTCTTGCCTTTAGGACTATGTCATACGCGTAGGTTTGGCATCGTATTAAATTGTCTGATAGCGTTGGAGGAGTTCAGTCTACTACTAGGCATCCTTTTGTGGCTGTATGGAGCCATCCCCTTCTGTGGTCTCTGCTATTCTTGTTCGTAACATACAGCCTCAAGGAAGGCACATAGCACAACCTCCACATAGTAAAACTAACTCTGGATTTCTGTTATTAGCTGATATAGGGCTGTCTCTGTGGATCTTCATGCCATACAGGCGTATTGGCTATAGTGTAGTGTCCTAACTTTGAGTGTTCGACCGCATTTCATTATCAATAATTTTCTCCATCGCCCTTATAATAAAGGAGGTAAAAGTGATTGGCCTAAAGGCTAGGTAGTAGTCCGTTCTACTTATCTTGGGTATAAACGTTACCGGGGCTCTCCGCAACATTGTTGGTATGTAGGCTAGGGCTAAACTATCCTTCGTTGTACCTAACAGATGTGGGGTAACTGGATCCTCTTCCCGTTCTAGTAAAGCCGGGTAAATTCCTTCCACACCTGGGGACTTGTACGGATCAAATGAGTGCATCGCTCACGCTACGCTGATCCAAGAGTCCGAACACGCATTTTCATAGTCTTGGGGAATTGGACGCGCGCTTTTTCTTCCTCGCTACCAGAGAACGTGCCATCCGGCAGCTTGATCACTAGGTATGCTTTTATCCTATCCTTTTTTGGGGTTTTATCTCGCCGCTGCATGTGTCGGATATTATATTCTCACAAATCCTTTTAAAAACTTTCCCTCTTTGCTTTTCCTATCATTTTATGGTATGTAGTTAGGTAAGTACGGGTCGAGGCTGGATAAGTATGGGTTAAGCCTGTCGCAGTATCCAGACCTTAGTTATGCCAGAGTTCTCTCTGATTCCAGAAAATGTCTGCTGGGATACAGCCGAGCGCAATTGCTTGCTGAGCATTAATTTGTGCTTCTTACAGGTCTATTCTGCGCTGGTAATAAAAAGTTTGTAACCGGTAAATAAAGTTCCTCACAATTTATAAACCATTTTCGCATTCTATATACTCTTGTAACCGGTAAATTTTGTTACCATCTCATAAGCTGGTAACAAATTATTTCCCCGTGAAATACATATGCAATGCCAGGATTTGCACAATTCTTCATAGCTGAATTGCAGAATATTTTAACTGCATTACCAACCTATCTAGAACCGCGATGACAAGAACTGGTAACATTTTTTGGTAATACAATTTTCCGGTTACAAAGTCTTCGGTAACGTGCAGAATATACATGCTACTGGGAAACATTGAGGTCTCGCTATGCAGATGGAGCTGAGCCGACACCCATAAGCATACCATTGATGCCCGCAGTGTCGTGTTCTGATAAGTCTGTAGCTTCTATTACTGCGTCCTATACCTCCCCGGCGATCAAAACAGGTGCAGCATAATTTAGATTGGTGTGCCATCAACGTGTATGCCTGAGGTCTATTAGGCATCGTCCAGGTGGTAAAAAGAGTTTGGCTGTCGTGGGGACGCGATCAATGCCA